AAACAAGATACAGGGATTCAAGTCGCGTGACGTAGGCGAAACCTTACATCCAAATCCCGTTGGAACGTGGATCACGTGATCCTGGTGACCCTTGACCGCTACATTACCCCCTTCCTTTTTCCGAGTCTTGCCGACTCGGCAAGGCTCGTACGGGAGTTCACAACAAAAGCGGTCTGCCCAATAATATGCTAAAAAAAAACCCGCGTGACTTCATACAATTCAAATACAAAAAGAACAATACTGAAAACGCATCGCAGTAAGGCTCGGACGGCTTGCAACAACGGGCGGGTACTCACCCGTTGCGAACAACACCGTACGCAACCCCAGCCCGCGTGACAAAACCCTACAACAATGCATCTACGTCAAACTAGACGCCACAGGTAACAACAATACCATACCAACAACACCATAGCACGGGGCAAACTAAAATTTACTTTTACATTATTCATTTTAATTCATTACATTCATTTATATCAATTGCACCGGCACAATACACGTGTAGGAGCAGCGCGAAATGAACCCATGACGCAGCATAGGTCAACCGTATTACATCTCCAAATAACTATTACACTATACACAAAATATATAAAATTTAAACACGTCCCCGTGGCCGAATCGGTAGGCCGTAGAAACCGTACCGAAAAGATTACGGGTTCAAACCCCGGTGGGGCAGGACACATTTTACCTGTCCTAATCACGTGAAACTCACTATGGAGACACAATGCTAGCGCATATATCCAACATTCAAATAGTAGCAATTGCGCCTGTCGGCACGGGCGAATGGATAGCGGCTCCGGCCGTGGTCCTTGGGTAGTAAGCACTGCGGCTAGTGTTCAACACTGGGCCGGGGCGTGACCCAGAAATTTTTATAAGAAAATAGCTGAAAAAATGCGCTACTAGATGGAGGGCGCCACCTACATCCTGTCCGCTCACCATTAATCATACTCCAGTCAAATAAACCGCAGCATAAGAGACGGATGCACATGAACACGGCTAAAGATTTGTCTATAGTGAACTCGCCGAATTACCAGTAGTGTACACATATGTGCGGCAGCCAGTGTGAATAAACAGCTACAATCACCAACTACATCAGCAAGCTCCGGTATGTTAAAGTTTGTAATGTTTACCTTTTTCCATACCAATGTGCCTCCACACTATGAATAGCGCTTCTGAATTATATACATTATTTACATCACATACCCATATTCGGTTTTTACGTCTCAAAATGGTTTATTACATTGTCACGCCTATCTACCCAGTATCTGTACACGCTCTCTCCCGTATAGTAGCGCGTAGTGCAATTAGGTCACGCGTATCGTCTAGCAGCCGAGCCTCCATCATGCTCTCCGCGGCACGGAGCTCCGCAGCCGACATCTGCATCCTTAGCCCAATGCGAGGCCGAGGCTGCTGCTCTACGAGTCGCGGTGGCAACTTCCATGTGCGTATGTCCGTCTCAGCAGCAAAGCAGTCCCTGCTCGAGCGCCGGTTCCTCTTCACCGCGGATCCCAGGGGTGAGACTCGTCGCTTCCTGCCACGCCCCTCCTTAGCGGAGCCCTCTGCTGCTGCCACGTGTGTCACCTTCGCTTGCCCTCGGAAATAGTCTGGGTCCGGAATCGTAACTCCTTTCAACGGCAGCAGATGTACGTTGCTCCGAGTACTTATGCATGTGTCGGAGCGTGTGTTTCACGTTACCACCGTTCACTATCGATGCAATAACTCACTACCACGCGCTAATTGCCACGTGGTAGGTTAGTGCTCACTCTCACCCTTGCCACGAACAAACCATTACGCTGGCAATGGGGGTGTCCGGGTTTCAGACGTCTCTATCCAAGAGCGCTTACTCGCACGGAAAGGGGCGCCACTGCTTCGACTCGGACAGAGGTAAGGTAGTACTTCGCCTGAATCCCATTACGGAACAACCTTCGTACTTGACGGACTGCGTCAGGCCCACCATTACTGATTAGCTGGAAAGGAAACCTTTTGGAACCCACTGGGAAATGTTCGGCTTGGTCGCAGGTATCGTGAATGGCCACTGCCAGAATAATTCAGTGGTTGGTGTGCCCACCAGACGCCCCTAACTGCCCCCACCCACGCCTTTATTATTTAGATGGATTAGCTCAGAAGTAGATAAATGTCTATATTATCTACTTCTGATTAGCCGGATAGGAAACCACTGATGCATCGGTCAGCTTTGCTTCTCTACCTTTTCTTTTCATGTTGTTAATTTGCAGAATAGAATCTTTCAACAATTCTCGAATGTACAACACATTGATTTGATGAAACAACATTATTTCCTTATATAAAGCACTTCTCAACACTTTCATTTCTCATATACAGTGTATATATAGTGGTTATATATACAGTACAGTCCACTGCAGCGACCCCACTTGAGTGGGACTGATAATGCGAAGGAAGAAAAAGAAGAAGTGTCTGCAAAATCATGCAGACAAGAAAAATCACCTGAACAGTTTCTCTCATGAAGCCATACGGCAAATAAATAAAAAATAAAAATATTACTCACAAGGTCATCATCACAAGGTATTAACACAAAGGTATTTTATTTCTATAAAATAAAGCATCATATGGCATACATTTACAATTCCAAATCACATTATTGCCTCCCAATTTAGCAATCCAGTAATTAAACATTTTTTATTCTTCATTTACATTCAGTACTCAAGTATATCAAAATCCATTTTAATAATCAACTATCAAATTTAGTTCAAACCATCATAGTACACCAGCCAATATGTAATTTTTGTACTTTGGGGTGCAATTTTTGTTAATAGCAGGAATCCATGCTAGATCAATCAGTCATAGGGTGAGAAAGAAAATGTGGGTGGATGCCACCCTCGGTTTTGACCTTAAAGGTTATTTGCAAGGTCAAATGTCAAATAAGGTCAAATTTTGTGTTTTTTACATTGTACATTAATTGACATCAGCTTTGTCTGTTCTATCCATAGAAACTATTTCTGTTATCAAAAACATGTATTTAGCCTGTTTAATTAACAAGTGCATTTTAATATTTACACATATGCGTATCTGAAACACAAAAACGTGATTTTCTCGAAATGTGTTTATTTTGCATGTTAAGGTAATTTGCACATCGAATCTTTTGGTTTAAACTATCACGCACGTTCAATATACTAATTTGTCACTGTAAAATCCTAAATAAACTTTTTTTTGCCATGGCCACTTGTTTTATCTGTAATTAAACACTGTAATTAAACACTGTAACTCTTGTGGCAGTCAGATTTGTTCTAGTACACCTGCCAATATATGATTTTATGGAGCATTGCTTGTTTATAGCAGGCAACCATGCTAGATCAATCAGTCATAGTGTGGGGAAGAAAATGTGGGTGGATGCCACCCTCGATTTTGACCTTAAAATTCATTTTCAAGGTCAAAGGAGGTCACATTTGGTGTTTTTTACATTGTGCATTAACACGTTCAACGCTGCCTGGGTTAACAATGCACCTACCGCCCTGTGCTGAGATTTTCGCGTTTTTACCGCTTAGTCACCTATTACACAAAATGTTTTTGGCAGGTTTAACTAGCTATAAAATTATTTATAATTAGTGGCTAGTATAATATAGATATAAACTTACTCTCAGACATCAAAACAACACCGGAATCTATCACCCGTGATCTATCAAATCAAACACAACTTTCAGACATAAAAACAACTTCACAACACACGGCGGTCAAACGCCCTTTGGCGAGGTGAACTAAAAACATTACCTCAGTCCCAAAAACTCCCAAAATAACGTTCCAAACAACAGTAATGTATTGTATAAATTATGTCATCTACTACTGGGGTTTATACAGTGACGCTATTGAATTGCTAAGCGTATAGCCCCTGCCATCTATAGGAGAACATAGTAAACGTTCTAAATTAATTTTTATTTTTTTATTTTTTTGCCACGAGTATACTCGTGTTTCGCGGCCGTGCGTTTTGCAGGTTCGAACGAGTATACTCGTGTTTCGCGTTGAACGTGTTAATTGACATCAACTTTGTTCGCCCTATCCATAGAAACTATTTCTATGATCAAAAACATGTATTTAGCCTGTTTAATTAACAAGTGAATTTTAATTTTTACACATGTGTCATCGTGAAACACAAATGTGATTTTCTCGAAATGTGATTATTGTGCATGTTAAAGTAATTTGCACACCGAATCATTTGGTTTAAACTATCATACATAAATCTACATATAAGAAACTAATCTAAGAAATTAAAACTTTTCTAATCTGAAAAAGGGCTAAACGGTTTCGCCATTTAGCCATCATTACAATGTGTTTAAAATATTCATTAAATTAATGTGGTGTGGCCGAGTGTGACCAGCTGGGTGACACAACAGAAGGGGAACATACAGTATTGAAGGGTGTGTCTCATAAGCCTACATGTACATGCATGTGTATCGGCATGAGGCTCTTGATATGAGTCTACTGGCCAGTTGGGTTGCAACAGTCAGACGCATCACATCCGCAGGCGAAAGTGCACCTGAAGTTCTTTCTGAAGCAAGTACATCGAGTTGTTCTGCATTTTGATTTGCCTCCACAGGCTACCAGCTCCAGGCAGGCTTTTGGGATTGGGGTAGCCTTGTCCACACATCTTTAAGGCAAGCGGAATCCTTTCTCCAATCTGAAGTGTCTGTAGGCGATGAGACATCTATGTGTTCCTGGTCTGCTTGCAACCAAATCTTTGTCTGATAATTGGCGCGTGTGGCGTAAAGTTCCAGTGCTTCCCTTGTCGGTGGTAACATCTCTAGACCCTTCTTAGCCTTTCCAAAAAGTTGGAGCCTGGCATGGTTGACGGTTCGTTGCTCAGGTGTTCCATACAGGTGACACGCAAACTGTTCAATAGGTGCAAGGTCTCCATCACGACTGATCCCCTTGACAAGAAGTGGTTGGCTTTCAAAAGCTTTCCAGCATGACTTCTTTGCATGGCCACTGAAATAAGAGGTTGTGTCACAACCTGTTAGCGCATGGAAGCTGAGCAGGGTTTCCCTCACAGGTTGTGTAAGTTTCTCAGATACGCCATGTAGTGGGTAACATTTCTGATTCTTTGCTGTTCCAGACACCATCTACACTTCGGATGTTCTTGTTGATACAAAGTGTATCAGAAGTAGCATGACATCTGTGTCTCTGCAGATTATGAGCACTCTTTGGTATCCTTCATTAACTGCCTCACACGAATGGAATATCAGCCTGGTATCAGCCTCTTCATGATTTCCATGAAGCCTAGGGTCATCTCTCCTTGTTGATCTTGCATCAGTAGCATCTGCAAATCCGCCTCCGGTTACCAGCTCAAATCGCCCGGGCAGATCTTTACCTTTCTTTATGATTTCCTCAGACAAGAACTTA